CGCAGTGGCAGGATCTCGGTTCACTGCAACCTCCACCTCCCAGGTTCAAGCAGTTCTCTGCTTCAGCCTCCCAAGTAGCTGGGATTACAGGCACCTGCCACCACACCCTGCTAATTTTTGTATTTTTAGTAGAGATGGGGTTTCGCCATCTTGGCCAGGCTGGTCTTGAACTCCTGACCTCGTGATCCACCTGCCTCGTTTTCCAAAGTCCTGGGATTACAGGCGTGAGCCACTGCGCCTGGCCCGTCAAATTGCTTTTCAGTGAAGTTAGAGCAGCTTATTCTCCCACCAACATACATAATGGTGTTTATTTCACAGGACCCTTGCCAGCATTGATGATTCTGAGTTTTTAAAAATTTGTTAATATGCTGTGTCATTACTGGTATGTCTTTGGTAGTGAAGTTGAACACTGAATGTTAATTTTGTATTATCAAAGTATTACTAAACAAATTGATAATGCAAAAAGTAATTTGATGTTAAAGTTCTGTCTGGTAGGGTTGCCACTTAGGAAACTCTAGCTTCTTTTACAATATAAACTTGAAAGTAGGAAACATCTGCTCTTCTTTAAACAATTTTTTCATTTCTATTTTTCCTTGAAACCCTGTTATTTCAAAAGTAGTGGGATTTGCTGTACTTGTATAGAAATGAAAGTAATTCAGGCACTCCTTGACCGTGATGGCTGACTTCAGCACCTGTGCCGTGTGAGTGATTGTCCGTATGCTCACCTCCCTGTCTGGAGTCTGGAGGGCCTCCTCCTGGCCAGGCTTGGTGAAGGTACCAAGAAGGGGCATGTTGCTATGAGCCATGCAAGGTGGAGCTCCACACCGAACTCTTCCCCCAGGAGGACATGCTGCAGTTCTCGTCTGATTCATTCCTTTTATCAGTGTGTGTGACCCTTTTGTAGGCCGTCTCGGCCAGCCCACCACTGCTGTTAGCACTGATTCTGTGGAAAAGTGCCTGTCAAGCTTCAAACCCACTCCTGTACCTCACATTTTCGTGAATTGAGAACCATGTGTGCAGGGAGCCGGGCGATACTGGCTGCTGTTCTCCCGAGCCCCTCTCCCTAGCAGGCTCCCTCCCCTCCTTCAGTGTCTCCTGCAGCCTCCAGGCATGGCCTCCTCCAGGCCACGGGGCGTAAAAATCAGACTGGACGGTGAGGGGAGGCAAGTGTCTGATCTGGCTTTGAATTCCAGCCTCGCTGCTGATGACTACACACTTGAGATCCCAGCGGAGCTGTAAAACCTGAATTCCACATTCATGTGGGTATATGGAGTCCACATGCTCTAGATACACTCCACAGAGGCTGGAGTGTCACAGAGTAGGCCATGCCCTCACAGTAGCTTTTACCAGTATTTCTCAGATTCATATGGAATGTATAAGAACTGATCAACATGAACATTTCTAGTCTGTTAGGGACAAAAAGGTTTTTTTTGTTTGTTTGTTTGTTTTTGAGACGGAGCCCAGGTTGGAGTGCAGTAGGGTGATTTCCACTCACCACAACCTCTGCTTCCTGGGTTCAAGCAATTCTCCTGCCTCAGCCTCCAGAGTAGCTGGGATTACAGGCGTGCGCCACCATGGCCAGCTAATTTTTTGTATTTCTAGTACAGACGTGATTTCACCATGTTGATCAGGTTGGTCTCGAACTCCTCACTTCAGCCTCGGCCTCCCAAAGTGTTAGGATTACATGCTTGAGCCACCGTGCCCAGCTGACACAAAGGTTTTGACCGAGAAACTTTTGAAGATTTTAAAAATTAAATCTGAACACATTTTGAAACGGTAGCACCTCCCAAGCCCAGCTTTCCTCCAGGGAGAGTGGGGAGAGCTGGCCCTTATCATCAGGGTGGCCAGAGGGAGCTAATGTGGAGAGCTCTTCCCCTCACGTGAAAGGAAATGGGGTCCTCGCGCCCCATGCCCACTGCCACACCCTGGAATGATGCCCTGAACTTTGCTTTGCTCTTCACCCCAAGCAAACCACTAGCTCAAGGCCATTTCTAAAGATGGTGCAAGTTTTGGAATGTGACTGCTTGCATTCCATTTCCACTCGAACGTCCACTGTGTGACCTTGGGCAAGCCACTTGGCCTCTCTGATGCCTCAGTTTTCCCATCTGTAAATAAAATGAAGATAATGTCATCATCCACCTCAGAGCATGAAGTGAAACAATATGGAAGGCTCGGTGCCATACCAGGAATATAGCAAGCACTCAGCACATGCATGCTATTAGCAGGTATTTTTTTCTCTAAATTTAGAGATAAAAGATATCATCAGATAGAGTTACTCTAAATTTAGAAGACATCTTTTAATGGTGTATCTATTCTGGGATGCCACAACTTCACAGAAACGTAGAAACTTTGGATGAAGTTAAAACTAGCAATGACATCAATTAAAGGTTTATAGCCCATTGAGATTGCTAAACAATTTCAGTTTTAGGCCAGGCATGGTGGTTCATGCCTGTAATCCCAGCACTTTGGGAGGCCAAGGTGAGTGGATGGCTTGGGGCCAGGCATTCAAGACCAGCCTGGGCAACATGTGAAACCCTATTTCTACAAAAAATTAGCCAGGCGTGGTGGTGTGTGCCTGTAGTCCCAGCTACTTGGGAGGCTGAGGTAGGATGATTGCTTGAGCCCAGATTGTACCACTGCACGCCAGCTTGGGCAACAGAGCAAGACCCTATCTCAAAAAAAAAAAAAAAAATTCAGTTTTGTTTACATGGAAAACATAGATCTAAATGGTGGCTTAATATATCATTCTTATAAAGATGGAAAAATTGTGTTTGGCATTTGATAGCATTTGGTGCTTTTTTTTTTTAAATTCATTTTTTTCTAATAGCCACCATAGAGAAGAAGCTTTCGGTGCTTCCTGTCAATACCTGGAAATAGTCACAGATTGTGGGCTTACATTGGATGGGTCAGGACTTTTTAGAAACAAAGAAATAGTGTGGGACCAAATATATTGTTAGTTGCAGGAGTGGAGAGCTACAGAAAGCCGTGTAGGTTTTTGCCTTGAGCCCCTTCAAGACTCAAAGGTCACCTTCCTGGCGTGGTCGGGACATGGCTCTACCCTCATCACCTCAGACAACTTGCAGGGCCCATAAACAAGTAATTGCAGTACACATGGTGAGCACCACGCTGGCGGCAGCCACGGGGTGCACAGGGACCACAGAAGAGGTATCCCCACATGCAGGTCAAGGAGGCTCCCCTAAGGGGGCTGAGCCTGAGCAGAGCTTCCAGGAGGCACAGGGCTTGCGCCGTACTCTTGGGGTAGCGTCTGTTGCATCAACAGAAATGCAAACGAGGATTGCTGTACTTTTCTTGGGGCTTATGTTTCTACGTTTTTAAATGATTATGTAAAACATTGGTAATCCCAGGCAGCTTTCTGGCCTCTGACAAGATGCTAAGTCTTTCTCTTCTTCTTCCCTCTCCCAGATACCTACTGGAGCAGGATTTCCCAGGCATGAGGATTGGCCCGGAGCCCACCACTGACTCCTTCATCGCCGTGATGTATGGAGAGAATGAGGGCAGCACCCCAGGGAATGCTTTAGTCGTGGACCCCAAAAAGCCATTTAGAAAGCTCAGTCGCTTTGGAAATGCTTTCCTGAATCGGTAAGGACCAGCAAGCTGCCATCTTTGGTCAGGCTGTTTAAACCTTTTCTTTGAATTACTGGCAATTGCATATAAAGGTTCAAGCACAGAATAGAGTGTCTGCTTTAGAAGTCATAGAAAATATGTTCATCATATGAAGATATTTGAAAGACCATCATAGGAAATGATCATTTATGCCTATTCTGGGTAACTTGGGAGGGCAGAGCTAAGGCCCAGGATTGGACATTATAAGGCTTCACAGGGCCAGGTGCATGGCTCGGGCCTGTAATCCAGCACTTTGCGAGGCCAAGGCGAGAGGATTGTTTGAAGCCAGGAGTTTGAGACCAGCTTGGGCAACAAAGTGAGACCCTGTCTCTGCAAAATATTTAAAAAGTTAAAAAATAAAAAGGCTATACAATATAAGGAACAAATTTCTAATAATTTGAGCTGCACAGAAATGGATTAGGTTACCTCGTGAGGCAGTGAGCTCCCTGTTAGCAGCCGTGTTAAGAGCTGGCTAGACGGCCACCTCTCAGGCATGGTGCACTGGGCCTCTGCAGTCAGAGAGCTTCGCCCAGAGGACCTTAAGCTTCACCTGACACTCGGGGTTCATCTGCTGACTCTGGGACAGGTCCCCTCACCTCCCTGCCTGTCCCTTTTTCTTCTCACTCCCAGCTTTGAGTTGTTTCCTTAATCATCAGAGCAGAGCTGAGGAAACAGACTGAAAATCACGAAAAGCTGATTATGTTATGTGGTCTTTTTTTTTTTTTTTTTTGAGTGGGGGATGGAGTCTCACTCTGTTTCCCAGGCTGGAGTGCAGTGGTGATCTCTGCTCACTGCAACCTCCACCTCCTGGGTTCAGGCGAGTCACCTGCCTCAGCCTCTCAAGTAGCTGGGATTACAGGCATGTGCTAGCTAATTTTTGTATTTTTAGTAGAGATGGGGTTTCTCCTTGTTGGCCAGGCTGGTCTCAAACTCCTGACCTTAGGTGATCTACCTGCCTCGGCCTCCCAAAGTGCTGGGATTACAGGCATGAGCCACCACGCCCAGCCTATGTGGTCATTATTTTATAGATGTAAGGTTGTGGGATCACTGAGGTTCTGCCTTACTTGGAGATGTGTTTTATTTGTATTCCTCCCATAACCTTTAATTAGAGTTCCCAGTGAAACTGAGAGCTCCTGGTGGCCTTGGCTGAAGCCCTGGATCTGCTTTCCTTCCTCCCTCCTATTTGCTACCCCTAGCCTTCGTGTGATGCTTTTCTCTTTTTTCCTGTCTTCCCCCTCCCACCTCTCTGTTTCCCTCTTTCCTGGTTCTAGCTTTCATGTGGCTGATTTGAGGGAGTGGGTTGTAGGAGGCGCACAGCTAGGGTCATCTGAGCCTATCTAGGGAGAGGAAGTGGGATTAGCGCTGACAGACAACATCTCCTTTCTAGAATTTTTTAAAAATAGGAACAGATCCTCCCAGCTGACTGCTATCCTCCCAAAGGCTGAAGCACCTCATGGCGCAACTCCAGGGGCACCATGCACATGGACTGTGGAATGAATGATGTGCTAGATGCTGTGCACTGGCTCTGCCAAGGGCTGCCCAGGCTCCCTCGAAGGTGCCATCTGTGAAAATGGAACTCTCCGGGGAGCTGAACTCTACTTTAGGGGCTTTTTGATGCTCCTATTGCAAATCAAAGAAAGCACCCAGGGAACTTGGCAATGGGATGAACAGAAATGTGCAGGTAATGTGAATGGAGTCCCAGAGAAGTTCCATGATATTATTGACGGTGATAGGAACACTGTCCAGGTGATTTTTTCCAACCTGCAGGGCTGTCTTTTCTAGGAGGAGTTGACTCTTCGACTCTAGAGCTGCCTCGGTTTGATACCAGAGTGCCTGTGGGAGCGGAAGTTGAGCCCTGGGCGGGAGAACCCCAGAGTCATCTCTCCGGATCTCTCAGCACAGAGTAGCCCAGGGTGGAGGGGAAGTGGACCAGAAGGGGAGGCCCCAGCAAGTGCAAGGCACAGAATCTGTCTCTGTGGAAGGCTTCACTGGGGACCTCTGGTTTCATTGCCACTGCCCTTTATCTGAGGCTCTTTTTGCCCAAAAAAGGCTTAATGAAATAAGCTGCCACTTTTTTCAGATTCCCACTTTTTTCAGATTCCCACTTTGTGAAGTCTTTATTCACAAGCGAGAAACCAAAAGACCGGTTATTGACTTGTCTTATTTTGGCAAATGATTTGCTTTCCTAACAAAAAAATGTTGTTGTTGTTTTTTTCAAATCCCAAGTACATGACAGATGAGTACAGAAAGGAAGTTTTTAGGAACGATTTTGAATGACAAAGCTTATGTCTCAGAATTTAAAACTTGGTGAAAATAATCCATGCCTTATAAAAGCAAGTGTCAATTGAATTCAGAATAATATATAGAAAAATAATAGCAAATAATTATTTGCTACAGGGTGTGGTGGCTCACTCCTGTAATCCCAGCACTTTGGGAGGCCAAGGCAAGCAGATCACCTGAGGTCGGGAGTTCAAGACCGGCCTGACCAACATGAAGAAACCCCGTCTGTACTAAAAATACAAAATTAGCTGGGCATGATAGGGAGCCTGTAGTCCCGGCTACTCAGGAGGCTGAGGCAGGAGAATCACTTGAACCTGGGAGGTAGAGGTTGCAGTGAGCCAAGATAATGCGCCACTGCACTCCAACTTGGGCAACAAGAGCAAAACTCCATCTCAAAAAAAAAAAACCAATAATAATTATACGGCATTTGTGTGTCAGCTTCTGTTCTAGACTTGTATATTAGCTTTAAATCCTCACAGAACCCCTGTGACATGGTGCTACTGTTATCTTCAATGTAGGGGGAGGAATCAAGGCATAAAGACGTTACTTTAATTTCTTGGCGGGGGGCGGGGGGATCACTCCACCAATAAGATCAGTGCTGGGATTGGAACTCAGGCCACCTGACGAATAGCATGATATTCGGACTGGGACTCACTGCCCAGTGCCCCCTATTTAACTTGTAAAGCTGTCCCTAATATAGCCCTCCAGTAATGATGATGAAGATGACAGTGATTATGTCCCAAGTCATCATTTACATAATTTCATGTACATTATTCTTTCGGGATTGTTAACACAGACAATACTATAGCCAATCTACAGATGAAAAAGCAGAAAGCAAAGACATGACTTACTCAGGGAGAGGCCATCAGGAAGAGGCAGAGAGAGGACTGGAATCAAGGTTTCCCCTTGTCCTCTGTCCCCCACCCCACACCTCTGCTCAGCACCGGCCAAGAGGAGTTTCTGTCTTCTAGCCACGTGTGTGTCAGGCTCATGTGTAAAGGACATGCCTCATACAAACTCATAGCTATTTAAGAGTAAACAGCCTGATTAAGTAGTATCTGCAGGACAGCGCCACTGCATCACACAGCAGTTATTTAAGAAAGAGCCAATTAGTTAGGGCATTCAAATGTGTATACATAATCATAGCTTCCCTCTGGGAACAGCACAGGGTTAGCTCTAGAGGCAAACCCCTTTTCACATAGCATACTTCTCTGGGAACTAGGTCAAAATGTAACATGTAGTCAAGAAAATTGCTTGTTTTCATGGAGAACTTTCTCCCCCAGGCAGCCACACCAGAATCTCTCTGGGACAGGTGATCATTACCTGGCCTTCTCCTTAAGGAGTGCCAGCTTGGGCATCAGCCCCCAGGGGCATCTTTAAAAGAATTAAGTACCACTTGATACCTGGAGGGGGACAATGCCCTCTGCCATTAAGCAAACCTGTAGAGCCTGAGTCTCAGCCTCCAAGGCTGGTTTCTAGGGAGCGACAAGGGGGTCTATGGTGCATTTCTGAAAATGAAGATAAAATCCTACAAAGGTTTATATTACAGAAATTCCATACTTGAACAATAAAAGGAGTTTAGTGTGGAACATGAAGAGTTCTATGGAAATGGTGTTAGAGGGACATTCTGAAACTCTAGCAGACTGCTGTAGTCAGGAGGAATTCCTCATTGGTCCATCTAGGAGCGGCTCTGGGGAGATACTTGCTGATGTTCCAAAGTTTGCTCTCAGGAAGCAATTGCCCCCACAGAGAAGGAGATAGCCAAGGGCACCCAGAGCATTGGGTCCTCTGAGACACCAGAGTACTTGGATAAGTTTAAGAAGTGCCAGGCATTGGGGTTTGACATTCCACTTGCAGTCTGCTTTTGAATAAGATATTATGTTATTCCTCAATCTGCCTTGCTGAAAAATGGTTTTATATATATATATATATATTCAAATTCAGATAGCTACAGACATTTTTAGTCTAGGATCTAGTATTATTTTAAATTGTTATCTTCCACAGAAGAAATTCTTAATCTCATGTACTTCTTCATTGCCTCTGTTTCTTTTTGAAAAATAACTTGAATTACTGGCTCTGGGAATTAAAATTTCAAAACTTCCTTTTGAGCTGAAGGGATGTGAACAGCTCTTCCAGGGCTTCGTCATTTTAGCCCAGCCTGAGGATGGTGATGATGAATAATCACTGTCTTATGTGCGAGTGGCGATTGACCCATCATAAAATACACAGGCGTATTATTGGGCTTGTACTCCATTTGTTCCTTCTGTGTTTGTAATGAAGTGAGGCTTCATTCAGTTTAGTTTTTGAGTTTAAAATTTTTTTTTTTTTTTGAGACTAAGTTTCACTCTTGTCACCCAGGCTGGAGTACAGTGGCTCAATCTCAGCTCACTGTAACCTCCACCTCCCAGGTTGAAGTCATTCTATCTCAGCCTCCTGAGTAGCTGGGTTTACAGGCACTTACCACCATACCCAGCTGATCTTTTTAGTAGAGATGGGGTTTCGCCAGGTTGACCAGGCTGGTCTTGAACTCCTGATCTCAGGTGATCCACCTGCCTCGGCCTCCCAAAGTGCTGGGATTACAGTGTGAGCCACTGTGCCTCGCCAATTTTTTTATTTTTTCATACAGGGTTTCACTCTGTTTCCCAGGCTGGAGTGCAGTGACATGATCACAGCTCACTGCAGCCTCGACTTATGCT